CTTTGCTCCATGTGCCACTGCCTAGGTGCCATCCCCTCCCCTCCACCAACCCAACTACAATACCTTGTCCAAGGCCAGCTCTCCCAAGTCCTTCCTGAGTAGCCACCCACCTGACAGTTCCCTCAGCTTCTTGGCCCTTGGACTCCTGTGCTGTGCTCTCCACATGAGTTCCTTTGTACCTGCTCTCCACCCGTACTACTAACATAGCTTCCATTGTGATGTGTCCCTAGGTGCCACTATACAAAACTAATTAAAATTTCTTTCCATCTAATTGTCTAATATTAATTTATCCATCTAATTCTAAATTATGTAAAGTATATTTTTGTTTATAGTGTGGGTTAGAAACAAAACTGAGTTTTTTTTCAAATGTTAATACATTGTTAGTGCACTAGTAAGAGTATTCCCTTGCCTATTGACTTGTAATAGTTTTTATTGTATTCTAAATTCTCAGATACTGGACTGATGGCCTACTTTCTATTCTGTTTCACTGATGTATTTTGTATCAGAACAACATTATAAATTAGCTTTATCGTATTATTTTTGATAGTTAGTACTGTTTACCCCTCCCTATATATAGATTGTTTACCTTACGTCTCATGCCATTGGTATTCCTAATTATTTAATGTTTCTCATTGCTATTGTGAATGTAATTTTTTTCTATTCTATTTTCTGACTTGTTTTTAATGGCATATTAGAAGGATATTTCTAAAATATGTTTATCTCAAATCTGAGCTCTTTATTTTCAATTGTTGATTTTGTAGAGTTGGCTGATAGCTAATCAAATTATCTGCAAATAATGAAAATTTACATTTCCTTCCTAAATGTTATGTCTGAATTGGCCAGAAATTCGTGGCTGATGTTCATAATGTTAATAGTGAATATTCGTATCACAAAAAATTAAATCATGGTAAGGAAGAATGATGGCTAACTTTCTATTAAAGATAAAATCACAGTTGAAAACAAATCATTTTTAATGATCCTAGATTAGATTAATTGCCTTGCAAATTTTCCATGGGTGAGGTGCATCAAAATCCTGGGAGATATTCATTTCTCCAGAAAGGGGCAACATCTCATTAACACTAGTTGCTAACTTCACATGGAGAGGAGCTGGACCTCAGATCTAGATTGCAGTTGGGAGGAGGAAGGCTGGAGGGAAGCTAGGGGAGTGAGTCTCTCCATTCCCTCACTTCATTTCCTTGAGAGCAGTTCCTGGCGTGACGACCAGTGGAGTCAGTCTGCTGCACGGAAGACTAGAACAGAGAGCTAGAAGTGAGCCTCACTGCAGTTCCCTCAGCGTGAAGGCGGTGGGTGGCCAAGGGCGTTTGTGAAATTTACCTCCAGGAGACAGCATAGCCGTATTTTTCCTGGACAGCTTTATCAGAGGCTGTCTGTAAATCCTGTTCAGATGCAACAAGTGGTTTTTGAAATTCTTTGTGAAATTTAGCTCAGATGAGTTAATGGGGATAGATTTCTCATTCTAGGAGAATGAGAGGGATTATTTTGACAGCCCTCCCCCACCTGAACAAAGTTCATGGTGGACTAGGGGTTGAAAAGCTGCCCTTCACTCTGTTCTTATTTATACCATTGTTGTAGAAACCTCAAACTACAAGTATGTAGATGGGAACTTAATTTTCTTATGAAAATCACATGTCAGGGTTTTTCCTTCCACGTTGTCACTTCAGTGCATGTATTCCATAGCTTTTCATGCATAACAAATCACTTCAAAACTTAGTGACTCTAAACATCAATCATTTATTTAGCTCATAATCTACAGGTTGGCAGTTTAGTCTGAATTCTGGGCAGTTCTTTTCCCAGCACGTGAGAACATGTTCTGACCTCTTGGGTCTATATAGGGTCAGCCCTGGGTTGGTTAGATGGTTCTGCTTCTTGGAGTTGGCTTGTTGTTAGCTGGGGGACCTGACTTCGTCATATGGCATCTTGTCCTCCAGAAGCCTTGCTTAGATTTTTTTGTTGTGGTAGAAGCAGAGGTCTGAGGGACAGAGCTGAAGGAAGCCAGGCCTCTCCAGGCTAGATTTGGAATTAGGACACTGTTGCTTGTGTGTGTTCTGCTGGCCAAAAGAAGCCACAAGGCCAGCTGATTCAAGGAGTAAGAATATAGATTCCACCTCTTGTTGAGAGCTGCTATAAAGCAGCACATTGCAAAAGGGCATGGACACAGGGATGTATGGAGAATGGGGGTCATTTTTTGCTATCAGTTTGACTATTAGGTGCATGAAGGACTCAAAAGATGTGCTTAGGACACTTATCTTTTTCATCAGTGTAGATTTTGATTTTGCTATTATAAAAATTTTATCTAGTCTGTTGTCCTGGTATTGGTATTATTTTTCTCTGTATACTACTAAAACAAATTTTGGTTCCTTATGTATCTTTATTCAAGCCCATGCCAAATAAAGGTTTTCTGAAATTTTCTTTTACTTCCTTACTAAATCTTATTGAGAGATATGTTCTCTGCATCTTCACAATACTTCTTTCTCATGTGTGGAAGTATTTTTACTCATGGATTTTATCTTATTTTTTCTTTGGACATTGTTGGCGTTTGCCAGCAAAGCATGCAAATGCTTCTTATTGTCTACTTAGTTTTGAATAGCCTTCTCAGATCTGCATCTGAAGAATAGGTGACTGGTTACACATTTCCCAGTGACTGGCAGGCAGGCATTGAATGTGGTTTGGCTAAACTAACCTAGGATCATCTCCTACCATGCTACATGTACCTGATTTGGGGGCACTTTAAAAAGATGAAGTGTATGAAAAAACCACATTTGTTAATGTGTACTACTAAAAGAATTGTTTCTTGTGTTCTGCCATCTCTGCAGATGATCTTATGTGGATAGCAAAGCTGCTTAGATGCAGTGAACTAATACTAGTTAGTACCCGGGTACCTTCTGACATGATCTTTAAACTGCAGGAAGAAAAAGGAGGAGAGCCAATAGAACTATTGTGTCTCACAGAGCACAGCAGTACTTTGCTTCTTGTGTACTCATCATAAAACTGGGCCAACATTAATTTGTTTCTAGACTGGGTTTCTAGGACGTACAGATAATGAAAGTGTCTGAGGTTTCTCATTAGAGGTTACATTAATTTTTTTGTGCCATTTTATTTTCTGATGTCCTTTTCTAGGCCTTTGTAGTTTCCAGAGAAGATGGGAGAGGCAGCACTAGGGATTCTACTTAGATGCCATGTTAGACCAAGAGTCCAAGCAGTAATTAATAAATAATTCATTTTCCATTTTTTGTTCCTCAAAATATATAATCAAGATGCAATAAAAAATAGCAATTGCACACAGTTTTAAAAGGCTGAGATTTGTTGCTTTTGTTAGCTTGTTCAAGTTATAATGTGAATAAATACACCATTTCATTATAATTTTGAAGCAATTACATATGTTTCTTAGTCCTCCATCATTACTTTCAAAAGTCTGCTGTTAGGAAACCGAGGCTCTAGCACTTTCCTCTTCTGCTTGCTCCTGCCCTGGGCATCAGTGGGGTGAGTGTGAGACACTTCTCGTCGAAGGGCCAGGAAGCAGTGCCTCCAGAGTTCTCTGAGCCAGTCTTTGTAATAACAGATCAAAATAGCCGCCCAGGCTAGTCTTTAGGGATGGTTACTTCCAAAGAAGTCATAGTTATCTTGTCTCTGGCAACTGTTTCTGGCCACTCAATTTAAGATCAAATGGTAAAATTATAATACAAAAAATTTCATCTCATTGACAAGTAACGAGTTTTTACAACTGCAAAAATAAGATTTCTTTTTATTATTTAAATAAATAATTTCAGTGCTATTTAAGTAATTGCTCATGAATCACAGAACTTAAATGTTGCTCACCTTTTTTTATATTTAACATGACTTGCTTTAAACACCCTCTGAAAGTCACAGTGATTAGTTAGGTCTGAGTGAAGAGTGTGAGGCCCTGGTTGTGTAAGGGAAAGCCGAACTCCAAGACGTGGACTCGGCTAAGGGATTTATGAACCTTTCTTGGATCTAGTTTACATGATGACTGTAGCAAAGGTCATATTATAGTTTCTCTTCACTCTAGACTAAAATATGATTCTCATTATGACTGTCCTTACAGTCTTAGCTAGTAATTCAGGAAGTAGAACTCATAAAGACATCATAGTTACAGACCTCCAGTTTCAGGGCCACAGTGTAACTGCAGACATGACAGTTAAAGGGGGAAGCCTGGTTTGCCGTTCCCTCCTGGGCAAGGAAACATGTGAGACACTTGGCTGAGTGTCAGGGCGTCGGGAATGGAGAAGGGCATGTAAAATGGACTCAGCCAGAATTTGACCCCTGGAAGTATGCAGGGAGATAAGCAGTAAAAGTGACTAAGAGTAAATAGGAGTAAAAGTAGAAGGGGCTACAGATTCAAAGAAAAGAATGTGTCAGCTGAGAAAATCCGGAGGAGTTGGCATTTGAGCTAGTTTTCAACAGGTATGGCGGAGCAGGGAACATCCTGTCTTAGGGAGTAACATGACCAAAGGCGCTGGCCCCAAACAGGTACTTGTTGAATACCAGAATAAATGGAATCAGTAGCTTTTGTTTTTCTACTGGTTTTCTCAGAGTGCTGTATAAACGTCTCCTATGTAAGTGTGCCAGCCACTGTGCAGGTGGGTGCTGGGAATGTAACAAGATGCTCTTCATATAGCTAGTCTGATAGGAAAGACAGATAAAGCCAACAAACCAACGACCATGTAAACTCAGAGTGAGGGCTGTTGGACTAGTGAATAACTTGTCTGAAGAGAGATGGTTGGGCAGGGCAGCCCTTTGAGGGAACAGAATCCGCTGTGAAATCGATGTTTGTAAGAGCCACTTTGAGGTGTTTACCCTGTTTGAGGTCTTGACCATTGTTGCTTTTCCAAGACATTTAATGTAGCTAAATTACTCTCCCTTGAAACACAGTTTATTTCTACTTTGCATCAGTATCTGCTTTACCCTTTGTTGAATTATTTACCCCTTGTTAAATTTACCTTGTCATCCTTGTTTTGCAGAAACCGAAACCGAAAGACTGGCACCCTCCTGGGGGTTTTATTCTGGGGTTGTGGGCACTCATTATCATGGTTTTCTTCAAAACTTACGGGATCAAGCACATGAAGTTCATTTTCTAGACGCGATGTTCAAGGAAAACTGCATGGAAGACTACATACAACCTTGGATAAAAATTTCTGTCGTATCTTTTAAAAATGTATTGCTCTTGTGTGAATTGGCAAAGAGTATAAGGAAACTAAGTTTGGTGAACTATTATTTTTTAACTTGAAGAATAATTATTAATGTAAGTGCTAAATGGCAGTAAATCTATTTCTGTTTTTCCTTTGGTGTATTATTAAAAAGATCAGAATGTACTCATTAACTCTTTTTGAAAATAAGAATTTCCTTTTTACCTCTTTTCATTTGGAAAAGAAAAAAAAATGTGAAGACATTACGTTCTCACCAGCAGCAGAGGTAACTTCTGATAGTGTTTTTGTGTATGTTCTCCCAGTCTGTTTTTCCATGTACTTATTTTCTTTCTAAAATAGAGGTTCTATAAAACATACCATTTTGTAACCTCACTTTTCATTTTATAGCACGTTATCAACCCTTCTCCTCTCCTTGGATATTCTTCAGGAACACATTGGGAAAGGCTGCAGAGTACCTATTTTATGAATGTACTGTAATTTATTTAAGTGTTCTTTTGTTGGACCACTTACCGTGTTCCTCAGATTTTCCTTTCCTTCATTATTTACTGTGTGAATATTTTACTGTCAGTCACTAATGGAATTCTGTAGGTTTAAGTATACATATGTATGAAAAATTAGCTTATCTATGGTACTGACAGTCTTTAAGACCTTATTACTGTCTGTTTATCTGGAAAACTTAGGACCTTTGGGAATTTCACATATTGACTGCTCAAGAGAAACAGACCCTGTCCTTTTATATTTCTAAGCATTCATTCATTCTCTGATCCTCCAGAATTGATCACTTTTGCTTTAGTTTCCATAGTCAAAGGGACATTTTTTAAATTATGTTTAGGGTAAACCTTGCCCTCTGCTGGATCCACAGGGTTAAAAAAATTTATTTACTTATTTTTAGAGAGAGGGGAAGGGAGGGAGAGAACATCAATGTGTGGTTGCCTCTGATGTGTCCCCTACTGGGGACCTGGCCTGCAACCCAGGCATGTGCCCTGACTGGGAATTGAACCAGCGATCCTTTAGTTCCCAGGCTGGTGCTCAATCCACTGAGCCACACCAGCCAGGGTGGATCCACAGTTTTCCTGAGACGGTCCTCTAAAATGGATGGACTGGATGGAAAATTTATGCTTTTTACATCTAACTGATATAGCACGTAAGGCAGTCAGTCAATAAGCCCATTTCCTGGTCTCTGACAACATGCAAGGGCTCATTTTCACTTACCAGCCATCTTTGTCCTGTCTCATAACTGGAAACAGTGTTCAGAGTGTGCTTCACTATCAGCTGCAGATGTTTCTTCACAGGAGGGGGGGACCCCTGAAATTTGCATATTTATGCCCTAGGGGATACCTTTTTGGATTTTATGTTTTATCTAAGAACTTAGGTATAAATTTGTTCCAAGGCCTGTTGTATAATTGTAGGTAACATTGAGAAGATAAATCTTCCTCTACAATAAAGCCTTCTAAAATTAATATTCCTTAGGATTTGTTTTTCTTTTAGCATTTAATTTTTACTCTTTAATTATATGTAAAATGATCATACTTTTTACCAGCAGAGGCTTAACTGTGTCATCTCCCAGGTTAGAACAAATGGTATTGAGGCTTTCTGCCAGCTCTGGATCTTCATTTTAATTGAACTTTGGTACACTAAGATAGATGAAGGAAAATTTTTTACCTGCTTATATGGAAAAGGATCCTTCTGTACATAAATGAAAACAGACTTAAAGTCTAATAGCTGCAGTAATGCTGAGAGACAAAAAGGTTAACCATCTCACCACGCAAACACACAAGGTCGCAAACACTATGGTGGGGCGGAGCTACTTAGAGGGGTAAAGGAGATACGACTGTTCTGGAACCAAAGTAACTCAGTTTGAATATAATGAAACATGCCCTGATGGTAAAGACTGCTGGCAGATAAAAGGGTTCCTCTCCTGAGGTTGTACAAGGTGCCCTTTCTAGTTAAAACCAAACTGGGAAAGTGGTACTGGATATAATACACAGGATTAATTTTGCCCAGATGTAGTTTCAAAGGATGGGTCTGCCTCTTTCTGGTTCATTATTGAATTCAGAATATAGTTAAAGTAACAAGCTTAAATATGTTCAATGTTTAGCTCATAACCATAGTCTTTTTACATAAAGTATATTCTGCCTTCAATAATGAGTACATCTTCTGCATATAGTAAGTGGGTAATATTCTAAGTACAATTAAATGGCTTAGACTTTAAATGATAACATAAAAGAACATCCTTAAATATATTCTACTTGAGTCACAAGGAGCTGAACAACCAAAAGGTCTTCTTTTCGTCTCTTTGTTGTGAGGATCAGGTAAATTATGTTATGACTAACTCCTCTGGTATCTGTAGGTATGTGGTGGTGTTATTTTTCCCATTTTTGCTCAGGAAGGTGTGAAGGGGGAAGGCATTTGTGCCAGTGCCCCCTTCCTATTGCACTGGTTACCCTTCTGAGCTGCTCAGTGTGATTCTTGTCCCTTCAGTGGTCTTTCCCTCTCCCTCTGGTATCCTCCAGGGAGAAAAGGAATATAGAAAAATGGGTCCCAGCAGACATGTCCTGACCTTTGTGGGGAGGGACAGGGTGTATTGGTGCCATTCTGCAAAGACAGCAAGCATAAGTAAAAGAAACCAAATGATGTGGATTTTAAAATTATGAAAGACATTCATTTGCAGTTTATGAAAGGCAAATGTAGTTTGGATGCAAAGCTGATTAAATTGGATCAAGGAAAATTTGAATTAAGTACATAAAATAATACATGCATTTATGGTTTCAATTTTTATATATCCTCAGCTAGTTGAAAATGATGATTCCCACAACAAGCATAACTCAGCTTGTTTCTGCTTACTGAGTGTTTTCTACTGTGGTATATGTGGGTAGCATTCCTTCCATTATGTATGTTGTATAGCAGTTACAGTAACTGTGGGAATCATAATTTGAATTTTTGACTCATGTGTTTCTGGAATCTTTACAACAAATGTTGCATTAACATAGAACTTTTTCATTGATTTTTACCAAAATTAAATCCATCTGTAACAGATACTGTTTTAACTTGCGAAAGAAATATTTTATAAACATAGCCCAAGGTATGGCTAAAATGAGATCAGTTATCCATTTTTGCTCTATGGAATCAGCCTCGTTACCTCATTGCCACGTCTCCCGCCCTAGGGCATTTATCGCACAGAAAGTGCCTCTTGTACCTCGTCCGTTGCCGCATGTGTACCTGCTGCGTAAATGTAAAGGTGTTTATGTTCATGGACAGTATATGTTGGGAGTAACTGGTCTTATTTTTTCCTTTCAGTGCAAAATCTTTACTCTTTTGGAAATATGCTATGAAATATTTGGCTTAATATAACTGTAGACTTTTGAATAATGAGATTGAATAGATGAAGGTGTGACTAAGAAACCAGTTATTAAAAACTCATTTATTTCAAACATGGCAAGGTGGTCACTGTCATTCTTGTTTCATTGGGTTGCCTGCAGCCCCAGCGACTTTGGAGGGCTTTCAGATTTGCCCGAGGAATACCCAGTCGTGGGGCCTACTGGGGGCGGCGGGGAGCGGGGGTGTACAGTATGATGATTTTCTGTGCTGATAGCAATGCTCTCACTGCCAAATCCAATGGAATTTTTCTGCCTGTATTTTACCTCTCTCCTTCATATGTAACATTAGTTACTTCCACTTTTGGAAACACTTCCTTCTCTGCCCTCATGGTGCTGCTGTGGCCCAGCTGTTCTCCCTTAGACTCTCCGTTCCGTTTTCTCCAAGTGCTTCTGTGACAGCCGCTTCAGATGTTCCACACAGTTCTGTCCTCAACTCTTCAAATTCCACTCTGTCCCTGAATGTTCCCTCCCCACCTGTGGTTTCCATGATCACCTCCACAGTGTTTGCAGCCACACTTCTGTATCCTAGTAGTGCTCTCAAGTTCCAGAAGTGCCCCTTTGTGCTTGAAAGCTCCACAGAACTCAAACTCAGTGCACCCCAAGCTGAACTTACCATCTTTCCTTTTCACCTCATTACTCAGCTCTTCCTTCTCTATTTTCTTTTTCTTATTTTATATTCGGAACCCTCTCTGAATGGGTACACACTGTGCAGATATCTGTGCCGCATGTAAATGCTCACCATGGTATTCTGCAGATGAAGCCCTTAATAATCAGGTGGGCAAAATGATACACTCTGTGGATGTCAGTTAGCTTCTTTCCCAGCCATCCCAGTGCTTGTTGGATGTGTCCATGAAAACCGTAGTTGTAGTGGCAAGGATGAAGACTGTGTATGGGCTCAACAGGTTGCGTTTCTTCTTAACAAGGCTGATCTGGCTAATGCCACTGCTGAGTGCCTGGTTTAGCAGCAACCGATAGCTACATTGAAACTCAGCCGCTAACTGGGTTGGTGCCTCCATTCTCCAGGGGCCCAGTCCACTGACTGGTAGTAGGTTGATTACATTGGCCATCACAGAGTGGGCAGAAGTGTGTCTGCACTGAAATACACAGATTCTGGGTATAGATCTGTATTCCCTGCTCTTTAAACTGCCAGCATCACCCTCTGTGGGCTCGCAGAAATACTTATCCATTATCTTGGCATCCTGCAAAGTATTGAGTCTGATCAAGGAACTCATTTCACAGCAAGGCAAGTGCAGCAATGGGGTTCTGCCCATGGAATTAATCAAACGTATCACATACCCCCTATCTGGAACTGGCTGGCCTAGTTCCACATGGAATGGCTTACTGAAGACTCAGGTGTGCCCCTGGCTGGGAGACAACATTCTGAAAGGAGGAAGTCCTCTTTCACAAGGTGGAGTATAGGCTTCGTGGGGTGTTTTCCCCCTAGGTGACCATAATCACTGTGAGCCACAACCTCCGTAGAGTATGACCAGGTCACTTACCAGGCTAAAATTCCTCCTACCCAGTAACTGTGGCATTCATAAACTGCCATGTCTATAGATGCATCATATCACTAAAGCCTAAAAGTAAAAAGGATCCTTTGGAAATTCTAGAGGTGCAAATTAGCCTCAGGTTACAAACAAACAAACAAACAACTGTAATGAACCTGCTAGTAGGCCAGGGAGAGGGGCTGGCCTCACCAGAGCTTGGGAAGACCCAGAAGGACGGTACAGGCTTTGAACCACAGACCATTACCTGGTGTCATTCCTCACTCCCACCCCCACCCCTACCTGCTCCCCCAGCCAGAATGCATAGATCTGGGAACAAGGAGTAGAAACCAAAGTGGCTCATCGTTACATGTAACAGTTTATTCACAGAATCTTTGCTTCCTGTCTTGGCGCCTTTGAGCTTTGCTAGTGTAGAGAGGAATGATTTCCTTGGGGGACCCAACAGTGGTTCTGTTGAATTTGAAGAGAAAATCACCACATGGCTCTTGGGGGCACTTTATATCACTGAACCAACATGCCACAAATTGGGAATTGTTCTGCTGGCCGGAGAGATTGATTCTGGTTATCAAAAGCAAACTGAGTAGCTGCTGCACATTGAAGGCAAGGAGGACTGGGCAGGAAGGGGATGCCCTAAGGTGCTCTTGCTAGTTCCATGACCACAGCAAAGGTTAATGGGAAACTGTAACAACCCAAAAAAGGCAGGATGATTGAAGACTGGGTTTTTGGAATGAAGGTTTAGCACCCCACCAGATGAAGAAGTGACAAACTCAGCTTCTGCCCGAGAGCAAGGGGAATGTGCGAGAGGTAGAGAGAGGGAAGAAGGCACGGATGTCCATCTATATGGCTCGTGGCCAACTACTGAAGTGAGTTGGCTTCACGTCTTCTCCTGGCCTATTAGGTGTTTACGTGTGTATGCTGGTTCTCCTCTTTCCACTTTTATTTAGGAGATGCCAGTTGGTGGTGCTCAAACTTACAATATAGTCTTTATGTAAGGAAATACTCCGTGAGACTGATGGAACTGGAGGAATAATTATCATAGCTAGCATACCATAACAGTTGGGACTGTGCATCTTATTTCGATGAAGGATGAGAATTTCTTTATGTGTAAGGTGAATGGCAGCCTCACGCTTGACAAAAACAGGGTTGAGTTGTTATTGTACTGGGCTCCCTGTGTGTAGAAGAGAGAATGTGGAAGCTGAGGGACAAAGGGCTGTACTGTTCCCATGGTCAATTCTTTGTCTTTTAGCTCCAAATGCACTCATTACTGATCTGTAATAATGGAGCTGAACTCGTTAAAGAACTCCTTTACAGTGAACATGATGCTAAGCTTTGTCAATAGAGGGTTCTGGGGTAGCTGGTGGGAAAAAGGAGCTTTTCTTCCTATTTCTGGTCTACTCCTCCATAGGTCTCCTGCAGTGTGTGTGTGTCTGCAGCGCCCAGTGCCTGGCAGCCCCTTTTCTGTGGGCAGCTTCGTAGCAGAGAGTTGCCCCCAAACCACTCCTCACACATGGATGCCCAGGCAGCCTGCCTGCAGCAGATTTGCAGTGAACCATGCATGGAGGGCGCCTTCCCCCAGCACCCCTCCTTGGGCATGTCCATTCTGCAATGCTGGGTGCAGGGCACCTCCCCCCAAACAAGTTTCCCCACACCCTTTCAATTTCAGGTGCTTTGCTGTGAATTCTGAGGTGTGGCTTCCTTCTGAACACAGCTCCCCTAGCCCTTCAAAAAGTGGCTTTCTAGAAAGTTCCACAGCCCTGCTGTCAGCGAGCCCTGCCACACTCTGCAACAATGTCTGGAGACATCTCAGCACTGGGAGGGGTGGCTCTTTCCAAGGGTCCTCTGTCGTGGCCCGAGGGGTGGTGGCTGCTCCTGATCCGTGCTGATCCTCTGTGCTTTGGAGTTCTCTTTCTTACTAGCAAATCCCCCTTGTTTTAATTCCTTGGTCAAATTACTAAGTGATTTCTGTCTCCTGCCTGGACTTTCATGATACACCTTCTCACAGAGACAAGATGGCATTAAATGGTAAGATTCTTGTCCACAGGCATTCACATTGTTCAGGTTATGCCTCTGGGTTCAGGGGAACGCCCTCCTCCCTACCAGAGAGGAGAACAAAGGATTGGGGCCCTTCACACCTCCTTCCCCTAACTCTGAAGCCTTCCCGGGGAGACCCCCACCAAAGGGTAGGGCATGGAGGAAGTAGCTCCCCTGACAGTGGCGCCAACGCTGGCCCAGGTAACACACACCTGGACGCCATCTGCCAAGGGTCCTGATGACTCTGTTTTAAAAACCCTGGATTCTTCTGGCTTCAGGCAGCTTTCCCTGCTCCTTGTAATGAGTATAAAGACCTGGAAAGATTCAGGCAGTGAGATTGCTTGTAACCCTGCCAAGAATGGAAGTGGATCAAAAGAAAAAAAAAACGTGTTAGAGGCAGATTGGAAATGTTCTCGTTTGGTTAGTTACAGAAGCACGTGCAGATTAAGAAGGCTGAATAGCACGGAGGTTAAGAACCTGAGCTCCGTGTATCTGTTGCTTGTCAGCTTGATAAATGCAGGTTATGCAAGAAAAAGAATAATTAAAATTACAATAAGAAAATACACTTGTACACCATTAAAACTAAAGGAATGAAAGTAATACATGAAACAGGTTAAAAAACAAAACCAGAAGTTCAGAAAATATAAAGCATAACTAGGGAAAATGAGATAAAAGAAATAGAATTTTAGGCGAACGTTGAACCTCCCACTCCAAAGGCCCCCGTGACTCCACAGACTTTAGTGTAATGCCCTGAAGGGCTGGGCAGGGAAACAGGTGCAAAGACACCTACGCAGGCCTAGCTGGGCCTGGCCAGTGTTGGCTGTGGCTCTGTGAGCAGTCCTATGGACGCGCCCTTCACTGCCTGCCTAGAAGCCCAGCAGTCATTTTACAGACATCTTTGCCTGCCTGCATAGCTGTTGGTACTGAGGTGATTATGGGCCCTTTTTTCTTCTCTTTACATTGCTGGCTGCAGACAATCATACTGTTTTGTAGTATTTCTGGCCTCAGAAAGCAAATCAGTGGTTTTCAGTCTTTTTGGCTACCACCTACAGTAAGAAATACATTTCATAGTGTCACTTGATACATATCTATGTGCATATCTTTATGAGTAAGCAAGAGGTTTTGCAAAATAAGCACCTCAGGCTCATGTACTGTTTTTATTCTTTTGTATCCTGTATAATAGAATTGTCTCAGGTGGGAGCTGGATCAGTGGTTTTCAAACACTTCATTTCGGTCAGCATTAAGAAGTATATTTTACATTGTGACCTAATGCACACGGATGTTTATGTACCTATGTAATTAAAAGTTTTATAAAACAATACTGACTCATATAACTTTCTCTTCTATTGTATTATAATTTTGTTGATGGGTTCTGGGTAATATCTGGCTCCATATGCATCTCTGAGCTTCCTACCATGCAGGCACAGTGAGAGCGTGGAGACCCGCAGCCAAGAAAG